AATCTCACACATATTGCTCATGAGTTGGAAAATAGTGTAATACGTCCAGTTGTAGGGATGTGCCTAGTTTCACTAATAGTCTGAAACATGAGCAATATGTGTGAGATTTGAATAGGCGAAGGAGTTTGTAGAAGGTTAGGATACCCTCTTGTTAGCATAAGCTCTATGTGCTAGCTTTTCAAATTTTGTGATTTTTTTCTGTAGTTACTGATAGAGTGAGTTGTGGACCTAGCCCTTGATCAAATTCATTACCCTCTTGGTGGGGAATAGGGCGCTTTCATTTGCATGATCGCGACAGCGCGCTGGTTTCAACACAACGACAGTTTTTTCTAATTATTTTTTTGTTCAGGGTATAGGACCGGTGAAAGATATCTCAATACAGAAATCAGAGGATAGGGTAATTCAGAATTGCTTTTTGTAAACGTCATGTGCTGAGTACAGTATCTGCTTCACCCGCTGTAAAATTGATGATTATGTCGCGAAAACTTTCGTCGAGCAGGCACTGTCTGATGACAATACCGTTCTGAATTTCTCAACACTGTGCGAGAGCAACAATTTGCTTGCATAGTTTCGGGATTGCTCACATGTCACATGCTGGGCGAAGGTGCGAAATTGGACTGTACTTTAACATCGAAGAAATTTCTCAAAAAAAACTGCAGATACACTATCAACAATGAGTATCGTTGATAGTTATGGCAAAAGTTCCGTGGGGTCCATAAAGAATGGGAAGCGCTTTCCTTATGTTTTTTTTCCAAACATGAACATAATCAGCTGCAAAACAAATAGTGAATCAGCCAAAGTTGCCCGTCTGTACCAACAGGGCTAGCTCTTTATGACTTTTTCGTAACTGAGGTGTGACAAAGTGACAGGGGCCTAGTCAAACCACTAAAGCTAATCTGGTTTCCAATCCTCCTTCGTTAGATGGGATTGTCTCAGATATCACTTCAGAAAGTTCCTGTCTTGGTCTTCCTGTTCAAGTGAAAGACAAATCATTTCCCTTTTTCTCCGTAACGATGTATATAATTTTCTCGATTCTTTGCTTCTGAGTTCAAATTCAACAGCAAAGGATAAAATCAAAACAAAAATGTGGTATTTTTTGAATGTGCTATACCGAGACTCGTGCGGATATTCAGTCATTGGGCGGTGCTGAGGTGAATAACTTTGCATAGGATGACCAAGTGGAAATGTACTGAGAGCCTCAGGTCGTTCTGATGTGTACGATGAGATTGTCGTATTCTGGAAATCGATGTAATAGGAGAATGGAAGGTTCGTTGTGGCCCGGTAGGCAAAGCAAACATTGCAAAATGGATGTTGACGACCCGACGTACCCCGGCTGGAAAAGATGTTTCGTCGCGTGATTGTGGGCGACTTCCCATACGTTGCTTCTGATAGTAGCGATCAATATCTAAAAAGCAGTAGATTGAACGTAGCGTCAAGTATGGCGCAAAAAGTGTCGTAAGGCGAGCCGGATCGTTCGCAAAAGGCATCAATAATAGACGGGACGGGCAGACGGAGCAAAGTGAGAGGCTGGCTACATGTGGAAACGGCGCTGAGTCAACATGAGACAGATGCCAAAGGTGCGACAAGCGCCCACGGAGCTCGCGAACTCGGCACAAGTTCCGGTTTTTTGACTCATGGGTGGAGCTTCGATGAGTACGCGAGCAGCGGGTCAAATTGAAGGGAATGCAAACTGTGCGCTACAGCAGCTGTGCATTCGCACTGCTGGCGTTATTTGGCCATATTAATTCGCTTGAAGTGAAATTGTGGCACTGAGTGTGACCTGTATGGGACTGATTTTGACGAAACGGTGGTATTTTAACACGTTCCGGACCGCGTGTGACACACATGGTGTGTCATGCATTTTTCCATTCACGCTGTTCATGCCGTATCTGCATCATTTCCAAGTTCCCAAGCATCAAAATACGATTTAGGCACTAAATATGCACACATATCATAGGAAAGTGGATGACAGATGAAATCGCTGATTATCGATTCGAAAAGTGATGAAATGATGCAGAGGTCCTGGCACAACGGCGATCCGGAATGTGTTAATGAGCTATCTCACTGTTTTTTGAATTCTACCCTTCTCCAGACTATTAGCCTCCTTGATTTGCCTGACAGAGTATACTTGCGTCGACGTACCCTCCAAATGATATGTTAAACATAAAAGCAGGAAAAAAAGTACAGATGTCCATATTCGGTCATCGCTCGTTATTAACTTGTTTCATCAGTTCTGCAAGAGAGTATACACAACTTAAGAAACAATTATAATAGAAAGCAAATGAATATGTTTAGTTAAGAGGGAATCAGGTTCGGGGGGGGCCAAAAAAAGTCACTTTCCTTCATTGACTTTCGAGGCGCTATAAGTTACACTTTATCGAATTCTGATCGGACATTTTTACCACCATATTAAAGAGCATATTAAATACTATTATGACACTCCACCACAGCCTTCTGGATTGAGAGATTCTGGCACGCAACCGCGATGTGGTCCCTGAGATCAGCGAGGTAGTCGATTTCTCCGCCACCGTAGACCACCCTATTGAACTCCGCCCGAACTAGGTAATTGAGTGGATTCAGGTCAGGGGACATACTTCAATATTACATCTTCTTCAGGTACGAAACGCCCTTCCATTCGAAGTAGGCGGGAGTTTTTCCAAAACCCTTCGATTCCATGTGGTGGCACCCAAACCTGTAGCAGCACAAGGTCTCCAAGAAGGTACGGGCGACCACATGTAGGGAGGATATTCTTCTCGAGTTACTTGATGTAACCGCCAGCGCTCACCTTCAGTCCGGGTCTACAAAGAAAATATCGGTCTTCCCATTCCAGGTACCCCGGTCCATACCATCAACTCGCGCCTCGGCGACCACGGTGAAGATGATGTCCTAGACCGTAGCGACGTTGACGGAGCTGCTCGATGTTGGAGGTCATCCAGATCGAGAGTACTGGTCTCCAGGTATCCATGGGTGACTCCATACTAGAAGTTTCGCAGCTGTTTGGAGGTGACATGAATTCCAAAGGTGTTCTCCAGTCAGGCCGCGACTGGAGATGACTTCATATTTTGTTTACATGAAGGCGATTGGCGGCAGCCTGCTCCAGCTTATAGAGGAAGATCTTGGGTATCTTCCACCCTGGTACTCATATCCACTTCCCCTGTCTGGGCTGCGAAAACTTCGTTGATATGTGGCTCGGCCGAAATGACTTTTTTTGCCCCCCCCCCCCTGTACATGGTGGGGGGGGGGGTAGGCACGGGAGGGGCTGTGATTGGCAAGGTTCGGTTCCCAAAGTGAAATGTTTGCAGCAACGGTGGCCATTTGCGAAGGGGATTATCTCGTGGTCAGTTCTTATCTTCTCCAGGAATCTAATTTTAGTCTGGAAAAAAACCAGAGGAAATAGGAGCAGACATTTAGTTCTTCGTGTCACTTATGAATAAGGAGTATCGTCAGACCGATCTACTGTGGCAGGTACTCACGTAAACGACTGCGTGCGTGCGCTCATTCCATGCTTCACGAACATGTACACGTCGAGAAGCTCGCACCATAGCTTTCTTCAAGATAACTGGTAAAAAGACTCATCTGATAGTGGGGAAAATGTGAAATTGTTTAAAGACAAGCTCCATGGATCCGTAATGTGTCACTTTCCGCTCGGAAATGCATGGTAACGACTTGGAGCGAAATGATTGCTGGGTGCCATCTCCATGCTCCGCCGCGCTGCCTCATGGCCAGCCACACGCCAACCATGGCCAAACTCGCAACTTGTCCGCGCTCTCTCATTTCTAGTTGTTCTCTACCACTGAATACAAGTTTCGCTGCGGGACCTTGGTATCGACGCAAGTGCTCCACACTGAAGGTAGCGCGGGCGGGGTATGGAGACAACAACCGGGTATCGCATCCGGCTTCCTTCTCGTTCACTCTTGAATGGAGAAAGTGGCACGCTACTACAGCTGCGGACCCATACACCTCGCACATGGAAAGAGCGGTCAAAGCTCATTGTCATTTTCAGTCATTCCCTAAGAAAAGATTCGAACCAAGATTTCTAAATAAACTCTTATAGCGTGAGTGATGGAGTCGACCCAACTCATTTCAAATAACAAAATGTAATATCAGTAAGCTACGGCCAATAACGTTTGAGTTCGTCCGTGCGATATTCCAGCAGAAAACCCGTCTAGAAGTCATGAATTTCAAGAGGTACCCAAAGAAAATGAGAATGGAGGCGAAAGGAATATCGTCGAGCTGAAGTTGCGTGGCCAAGCATTAGACGTGCATTTTGCACAGTCGGTTGTTCATATCGAATACTAATGATAGGAAAAAAGACAGTCATTGCTCCAATTGCATGGAAATGATAACCAATAGAGGGACGTAGCTGGATTAAATGTCTTTTCTTTATGGCCGAAAAATTTCAGCGAAGGAGAAGTCAACCTCAGTTGTTTTTAAGTATAGAGTATTTCAGGCATTCAGCTTGGAACCGTTAATGTGGCGTCCGTTCTTATTACTGGAACTTCCGTACGAATACGATGTACTGTTTGCTCGATATTTCCAAAGAGTCTGCATTAATTGTAACAAAGTAAGTTTGTGATGTGTAAAGATTTGAACAGGAACTGAGAGTACCATGCTTCATGAACGGGGAAATAACTGTGGTAATGATAATCGAGACGTCATGAAATATTCATGACCCCTACTTTCATGTTTTTTTATCAAAGTCTCCAAATAACGTAATATTCCGAAATGTATTACACTAGGCTCTCTAATATCGACACATATATCTTGGTCGGGTTGGCGAACCCACCTGATAGAGGGGAGGAGCGATCTTCCAGCTCATAGAGCATTTTTCTCGAAACAGTTTTCGCTCGATGCAGCGCTCCAAAAAATGAAGTCACTATCTTATTCCGTGTAAGGAACCTTGCAAAACATCCTCTTAGCACGTTGAC